TTTGTCTTTTTCGTTATTATAAGATTCATTGTGAAAGTAGCAATGACTCAATGAAATATAACCATTTAATGTATAATTGTTGTGTAATGACACTTGTATATTATCCAATGGTTTAATAGTTGTTTTAGACGCATTTAGCCAATTGGAATAAATCTGAAATAAGTACATAGTTAACTAACTAGCTAATTATCTAATAGAGGCTAAAAAACAGGGGGTGGCGTTTCCCTTATTTAGCTATTTCGGCTCGTCTTTGACCTATCTTAGATGTTAGAAGATTCTACTTAAATTTTACTATTTTCAATCCATTTTCCACAAATCTATCGTCTTGGACATCCAAAAATCCAAAAATTTTCGCCTGCAGCGCAATAAAATAAATTAATTGCTATAAAATCACTAAACGTTTGCCCAGGTAGGCATTATTCTGGTATATCTACATACAAATACTACAACATTCTACACATACATATACCATTTTTATCAACAAATTACCTGATTGCATGATTGTTGTTCATGTAAACGTAATTTCGGTATAACATTTCCAAACTCTTCAACCGTAAAACCAATTGGTTTGTAGACTTTTTCTAAAATTTCTGCGAAACTCACATATCCTTTTGCGGTTTTTATTTTCATTTTTTCTTTAAAATTATTATTTCTTTCATTAATATGCATTTTCATTTCCTTATGATTGTTCGAAATTACATATTTGATAATTATGAGTAATAATAAAATGACGCTGCCTAAATATTAGTATGAATTAGAGTAGGGCGAGGTTAAGGCCTCTCGGAGGCCGAGGTTCTCGCCCATTTTCGAATCTCTGTCTCGGTTCGACCATCCATTCGGTCTTGGTTTCTGCGAAATTTTCGCCGAGGATCAAGGCTAAGAATGGACGTTGGCAGTAGTTTAGTCGAGGGGTCGCTCAAAAACTCGTCAAATTGTTTACTATTCGATAGGCCTTGGCGAGCTGAGTCGAAGGTACATCTCACTTGGTGCGGAAATGCTAATGAACCGAGAATAGGTCCTCGAAAATAAGAAAACCATAGGGGAGTAAGCTCAATTTTCTTGTAAAAATTCGAATAGACTAAATTCGAATAGACCCTCTACTTAGGGTATCGGTTACGGATAGAACGGATAGATCGGATAGAACGGATAGATAGTTACGGATAGATCTGTTACGGATTTAAAAGATTATGTCCATTTATGCATTCTTGACAAATTTTTTGAAACAGAACATACCTATAATTAAGAATCCTTTCCTAGAATTAGTTCTTTTCACAGATACATTTAAAAGATTATAATTTGACATATTTATTAAAATTAGTATATTTTTAATAAAAGAGTTGCGATTCCGAAATTAAAAATATTATCTGCAAGCTAGATAAAGAAAAGGATAAATTTAAATGAAGTACATATGTATGTTATTAAAGATATATTGGTTTGATAGGTTTTTATTAATATCCCACCCCCACCCCTATTACTCTAGATTAATTTACACTTATTACTGCAATCATTAAGGTTGGGAAAAATATGCACCAAATATGCATATAGATAGCACCGAACAAAGCCAAAACATGCACCAAACTATGCAAAATCTACCAAAATATCCGCTAAATATGCATCGAAAAGTTAGTTAGATAAAATTTTTTTACACTTTATTCATAGAAAATGAAATATGTTCAATATAATATTTAATGGAATTATGATAATTTCGTTGGATTCGCCCGACTCCGTACCCCGACCACGTTAACGAAAGATTTTTTTCTGCGCCTGCGGCGCAGAAAAAAGAAGACATTGCCATGAGTTTATCCCCCGATATAAAATTTTTTGGGAATTTTTTCCAGACAATTAGTTTGGAGTTTTCGATGAAATTTACTTTATTATCTGCAAACATAATCTCTCTATAAATTGTAATATATTAAATGATTAATTGAAATTTTTGTGAAAATTTTGCCAAAATTGTATACACGTTTTATTAAAAAACTTGTTCAATTAAGCATACTCTTAAGAGTTTGTGCATATAAAAACTAAAATAAAATTGAGCCAAACAGTAACATACATATTAATATTTTATGAAATATAATTTTATGATTAATTAATAATAAAAAGTTACGTTTAGTTTTATGTAAATGGACAAATTTTTTAAAAAACTTGTTGTAATCTAATAAAATTTATTTAATATGCCCATATATAAACTAAAATACTTGTGCATATTTTAATAAAATAATAATTTTAATTAAATTTATTTCAAGTATTTATAATCAATTTAAAGATCAAGAATAAGCTTGATGATATTTCAATGATGTGAGAAAAATATGGGACGGCAATGATGTGATTGTTTTTACTTGTATCATCATTCACTTAAAAACATTGCATCAGATAAAGGAGATATTATGATATTTTCTGTTGAGCAGAAATTAGAAGAAATTAAAAATAAATTTAATATATCAAATTTTAATAGTAGATTGTAAAACTTCAACAAATACGTGTAAACATTTGTACTATGATGCATAACCCCATAACGGTCCCGATCAACCACAGTTATCTATATCAACATTGAATGATTTGTTTACTTATTTAATGAAACAGAAGTTGATATGATTGTATTAATTTCTAAATTAGAAAAAAAGTGAAAAAAACTAAAATACTTGCCATATTTTAATAAAATAATAATTTTATTTAAATTTAATTCAAGTATTTATAATCAATTTAAAGATCAAGAATAAGCTTGATGATATTATCAATGATGTGAAAAAAATATGGGACGGAAATGATGTGATTGCTTTTACTTGAATCATCATGCACTTAAAAACATTGCATCAGATAAAGGAGATATGATATTTTCTGTTGAGCAGAAATTAGAAGAAATTAAAAATAAATTTAATAAATCAAATTTTAATAGTAGATTGTAAAACTTCAACAAATACGTGTGAACATTTGTACTATGATGCATAACCCCATAACGGTCCCGATCAACCACAGTTATCTGTATCAACATTGAATGATTTGTTTACTTATTTAATGAAACAGAAGTTGAAATGATTGTATTAATTTCTAAATTAGAAAAAAGTGAAAAAAACTAAAATACTTGCCATATTTTAATAAAATAATAATTTTATTTAAATTTAATTCAAGTATTTATAATCAATTTAAAGATCAAGAATAAGCTTGATGATATTATCAATGATGTGAAAAAAATATGGGACGGCAATGATGTGATTGCTTTTACTTGAATCATCATGCACTTAAAAACATTGCATCAGATAAAGGAGATATGATATTTTCTGTTGAGCAGAAATTAGAAGAAATTAAAAATAAATTTAATAAATCAAATTTTAATAGTAGATTGTAAAACTTCAACAAATACGTGTGAACATTTGTACTATGATGCATAACCCCATAACGGTCCCGATCAACCACAGTTATCTGTATCAGGGTTGCGTCGTAATTACGAATTACGATTACGAATTACGGTGTTTTTTCAGTTACGAATTACGAATTACGATTACGAAAAAATTTTTTAAATTACGAATTACGAATTACGATTACGAAAATAGAGGGAAAAATTACGAATTACGAAAATAATTTTGCCAAAAAATTTTAGAATAAAAAGGAGAAGAAATATTTATTTTTTCTCTCCCCTTAGTTGTGTTTATCGGTGGTTGAGTGGGTTAATAGTCAAGCTTCACTCACTTAATATTTTGTTGTGTTTGGTTCGAATCCAAGTCTGGGAAATAAAATTTAGACAACCTATTTTTTCAAAAATAAATGTTTTTAAACTTCGCTTTTGATTTTAGGTTTGTAAATTTATATTTTTAATATCTTAAATTGAAAAAAACTTAAAAATTTTTAATCTAATCATGAATTTTCTAAAAATTTTTCGCCTGCGGCGCTGAAAATATAAGAGTGTTGGCTCGGGATTTAGTGAGAATGATTTGACATGATATCAAACTTAATCTGGGACGATGATTCCTCATGATTGATTAAAGAAATATCGGAGGATTATTAGGATTAAGAGGGATATCAGGGAATTAATTGGGATTTGAATAATATCAGAGAAATAAGAAGACTTGGAGAGATTAATGGGAGAAGCAGCAATTATTAATAAATATTTGATTTTTAAAATTAATTTAAATATTTTTGAAAAATTACGAATTACGATTACGAAAATTTTTTTAAAATTACGAATTACGATTACGAAAAAAATTTTTTAATTACGACGCAACTCTGATCTGTATCAACATTGAATGATTTGTTTACTTATTTAATGAAACAGAAGTTGAAATGATTGTATTAATTTATAAATTAGAAAAAAGTGAAATTTAATTTAATATTAAAACATTATAAAAATAATATATGAGTTGCTAAAGTTGAATAAACATGGTTGATTAAAATATATATTAAAAATTTTCGGTTCTGGTTTATTATTTTTATTATGATGTAAAGATAATAAATTTTGTGTAATTAGTTAAAAACATTGGATCGAGCTCGAATTTTTGAATCAATTTTCATAGTATTCATAATAATTTAACCATGAAAAATACTGGATTGAAGGGTATTTAGTTAAGAAACTCAAAAAAAACAGATTTATTTAAAAATATCTTTAGCATTAACATTCACTATTTCTTCAACATTTAGCCAAATTTGCAAAAATAAAGGCGATTTTTAAGATTTCTAAAAATACCTAAAATAGGTTCAAAAAAGGCCGAAATAGGTTGCAAATAGGTTTTAGGTCCAAAAATTCGAAAATATGTTTTTAGGTACGAATAAGGACTCATCATTTCGACCTAAAACAGTTTCACTTTCACAAATATGACAAAAAATGAGTACTTTTTGTTAAAAATTGCCATAAATTTATTCTTATCTGAAGACTTACACGAACTAAAAAAACAAAAAGATTAGTTCTAGTTCTATTTTTATATTCGAACTTTATTAATACAAAAATAATAGTTTTTTTAAAATAAAAACGACTAAAATTAATCTACAAAAATCAAATTAAAATTTGTTTATTTCCATTTTACTTTTTCATAAGCCTTTATGTGCTTCCCTTTTAACCAGATATCTGCCCAATTATCAATACAAACATCTGGACCCTTCCAATAATTCCATATATTACTGATTATATACTTTTTGTGTTTTCGATGTTGTTTGTGTAATAATTCACAAAGATTGCAAAGTGGATTGTATGATGGTGCATCACTTCCATTTATAACATTAATATACGATTGACGGCTTAATGGACTATATTTGTAGTAATTCATGCGATAGGTTGTTTTTCTGTATGTCTTTGTCCATTCAAAATATCTGCAAATTTAATAGAAATTTAATTACTCTTTAAATTTAAAAATCCACTGTTATCCTTTAATCCCCCGATTTCTCTACAGCCTTACTTTATCACTACAAATCCGCCGATAACTCTTCAAATCCCCCTTCTAAATCCACCGATATCGTTCTATACTTTAAATCCATCGAATCCCCCATAACCCCGCTTGATTCCTCGATATAACAACCAAATCACTCAACAATTCCTTTAAGTTTTAAATAAAGGTTTCTTCTTTTTTCAGCGAAAATGTTGAGAATTTTGCAAGGCAAGGAGCCAGATTTCTTTCTTTTTTAGTAACCGAACTGAATATTTCATTTATGCTGAACTGGAACCGATAATCAAACTGAAAATTTTCGGTTACCCGGTTTTTTTAGGTTCCTAATTTTGCCATTATGTATTCGTTTTTTGCCCTTTTTGACATTTATGTTGTCGAGTGTCGCCACGAAAATCTCTTATCAATTCAACATTAATGGATTCATAAGAAAAATATCTAGAAAAAATATCTAGAAATACATATACATACTTCATATATGCTGTTCTATTTTTTTGTAAATAAAGTAGATGTTCTGCTAATTCCTCCACATTGTTGAAATCATCTACAGCAATATATACATTATCTGGTATTTTTGTTTTCTTAAAAACACGACGACTAAGTACTATAGGCACAATTAAATGTTTCAAATACCAAAATTTTTCTGTAATGTAATTCTTACAAACTGAATTTTCGAATGCCAAATAGAACATATGACTTGCTAAAAGTTTAAATTTTATGATAAATTTTATTATCATTCCCAAACATCAAAAATTATCAGGACTGTAAGAAGGCGACTTAAATTCTTAAAGCCTAATACTCCGTTTTTTTCACTAGAGCCCTAAATTCAGCTGAATCCAGTAAGAGCTAGGTAAGAGTTTAATCCCGGGCAGGCTTCGATCCTGCGACCTCCTGGCAGTTATTGCTAGGCGCTTTCGCTCACCACGTACTAGTGATGTTCGGGTATCCCGACTCCCGACACCCGACTCGGGAAATTTCCCGAGTTTTTGGCCTCCCGATCCCGACCCCGACTCCCGATGTCAATTCCCGACTAAGTCGGGAAATTTTTACACCCCTAAGAATGGCTTTTTCTGATAAAATTTTATTTTTAAACTGAAAAAAATAAAAAAAGGGAAAAGGAAAATAAAAAAAGAAAAAGGAAAAGGTGAAAAATATTTAAATTTTTATTCCAAACGTCTTTCGTTGAGCGATGGTTGAGTGGTTAGGTTGATGACTTCACGCTCAATGTGATATTTTATGGGGATGGGTTCGAATCCGTGGTTGGGAAGTGTGAGTTAAATAATTTTTCTTTTCCAAAAATAAATATTTTTAACATTGATTTTAATTTTTAAATTGTGAATTCATTTTTTAATACTAGTAAACTTGAGAAAACTGGAAAAATTAATATAGTCATGAATTTTCGAAAATTTTCGCCTGCGGCGCATACAAATGATGTGAGATTGAGAGGTCTTTAAAATTTAATTAGCCAATCTCAGCAATACTCTCCTATTAAAAACCCTTCCCTTCCATTATATTCAATGCTCCTTAATCACTTCTAATCGCTCTATATCCTTCCATGGATGCAATATTTTAATACCAGAGACGAGGTAATTTTGGGAATTTAGAATAATTTTGGATAATTTTTTTGCAATAATTTTGGGAATTTAGAATGCTTTTTTTGCAAAGCGGCCAAAATGGATGAAATGTGGCTTCTTGACCTCCATGATTATCAAGATTTCTGCCTGCGGCGTTTAAAATTAATAAAGAAATGTTGAAAATTAATTAAGGGAATAGAGAGAGAGAGAGAGAGTGGCGCAAAAAATGGAACAATTCTGGCTTTCTAACCTTCAAAAATTCTTAAAATTCACGCCTGCAACGAAAAAATCAGAATTTTTGGCGCTGAAGTCGCCAAAAAATTTTTAAATTTTTTTAATTGAAAATTCCCGACTCCCGATCCCGACTCCCGAGGTCATTTCCCGACCCGACTCCCGTTTCCCGATTCCCGAGTTTTTTCTTCTCCCGAACATCACTACCACGTACAGGTATTGGTACTTATTTAGTTTCCCTCCCCAGTCAATTTTTTCGGTAGATATGTAAAAAATGTTCAGTCTGTCAAAGGTTGTAGATTCGAAAGAGCTCATCAAGCTGAGTCGTATGAACCAAAATCAACGTAATTGGACAAGATTTGATAAAGTTATGACATAAGTCGCCGACTCCGATAAGTCTACTTAATGTCATAACTTTGTCAAATTCAGTTAGATTACGTTGAATTTGGTGTCATTCGACTCAACTCAACGAGCTCTTTCGAATGATAAAGTATAACCCTAGATTAAGTATGTAAAATAAGCATTTTAAAGCCTTTTTCAACCTTTTCATATAACTAAATTTATAATTATCTCCCACCTAATTCCTGATTGAGGCAGTATTCAAAATCGCATTTCGTGTAAGTGTTGTCAGAACAATTCCCATATAAATCAATCTTTACTAACCTACCAAGCTTAGCAACAAGATTTTCTCTTTTAGATGGCGTAGCTTATACGGAAAAATTATGGAAAGATTAGAGAAAATTTTTTTTAATTTTAAAATATTACAACAAGTCGAAAAAGCTTTCATTGCCAATTTTGTTTTCCTTCTTACACTTTCTATTACCTTAGAAACAAATTATAAAATTTATAATATGCTTTTTACCTCCTTTTCCGACCAAAATTCATCCACATGGCACTTGCCATTACAAGGAATAAAAGTATCATATGGGTAATAAATATCGCTATCTACACGATAAGTCATTGTTATATTAAAATAATCAGGAGTAACATCCTTATAATTTAAGAGAAATCTTGTAAATTATGTTTACACATGTAAATAAATACACGATTAATGAATAGGGACAGCCAAAATAAAATCGCAAAATATGCGTTATATCAACTAGAATATTTCATCGCTCCTTATGCTACTGCTCCGGATATGGAAGTGAAGAACTGGAACCGGTTCCAGAGAAATTTCGGAACTTTTCCATCACTGATCTAGACATTCATAAAAAAATTAAAATTATACACAATAATGTGTCTATATAGAGGTCCAGTGTCTATATAGAGGTCCCCCCAAGATAGTCTGTATCAATTAGTGTTATTTATTTACAAGTGACTTTAAAATAAAAATTTAACAAAACTGTGCATGGATACTTAGTTTTAATCCCCTATCTTTTAGTCAGCACTGAAAAATGTAGAAGAATTCTTTCTTTTTGACCCTTCAATAAGACTTGACGGACCGGTCCGATAAAAATAAAGCCCGAAAAATGATTCGAACGTCGGCCCGACTCGTCTACCTAAACCCTACTCTTCAAGATTTTGATTTTTGCCTTCATCTCAGCAGTTTCAAATAATTTGTATATCTGCTAAAAAGATAATTTTTAATTAATATCATGGATATATCCGGATGCGGATCCAAAATCCGTGTCCATGCACAGGTCTGGTATTTACTGTAAAATGTTCATAGGTGTCTGAAGGTGATTCATCCACAAAGAAAACATATAATTGATTAGAAAATCTTTTTCTTGGCAAATCTATGTGCGTAGCCCTAACATTATATATAATTGCACTGGCATTCATATATCTTCAATTTTTTCAAATTATTATATTTAAGTATTTTAAAAACTTAACAAATCTCTATCTGTTAAATATTCACATTCATATTTACATTCATCAATATTATACAGTCCAGTTTGCATATCAATTATATTTTCTTTATCAATTAGATTATTCCAACCAAGAATTATTGGTGTTGACTAAAATATTTGGAACCCTCATAAAAGTATCTTTAAGGTATTATCAACAATTTTTATTAATAGGTGTGCCGAAAAATATTTTAAGTATAGAAATTTAATTAAGTATAGAAATTAATATTTTAAGAATAGTAAGGCGAAATTCATTCAAAAAGTGAAAGGCGGTAATGTGTAAGTAATACGGATTTGATACGGTGTGTCCGGAAATGATATATAACCAAATAGGATAATTCTGTTTTGGATGGTAGAAAAAATTCACAAAAATTCCAGTGAGCATATCTATTGATATCAATATAAAATACAAAAGAAACGAAGTTCTAATATGTTTCTATCATCGAGATCTCGAAACCCGAAAATCAACAGAAAACAGAAGGTAAACGTCTTTAAAAATATTTTCGACCCCTAGAAGAGAAAGAACTTAGAAGAAAAAGTTTAGAAGAAAAAGTTTTACCCCTAGAAGAAAAAGTTTAGCCACCGGGCACGATTCGAACCTGCGACCACCTGGTAGTTGTTGCTAGGCGCTTTCGCTCACCAGATGCAGGAGCTCTACCTCTGAGCTACCGGGGCATCGACTAATGCTTTCTCTTTTTCCTTTTTAGATCGTTTAACCCCCGCCTAAGCGTTTTAAATGCTGCTGGGTGAATCATCCTTACAGAAGCCGTATTAATTTTTTATTTCATACTTTTCTGAAAGCCCTTTAAATTTGCTGCAAGAAACCCATATTGTTAATAAAACGAAAAATTTTACATGGGAGACATTGAGGTTTAAATTCAGTGGACGTGGAAAGTATTAAATGATTATTTTACACAAAATCAAAGTCATCTATTTTTCAAATAATTTTACCTTGCTTGATTTCAAGTTATAACAAGGTGAGTAACTATTACACACGAAAAATTTCAAATCTTTTTTTCTTGTTAGAAGAAAATAAATCAAAGCCAGCATAATTATTAACTTAAGAAAAATTTTACGAATTTTTAATGTTTAGTTTATCATAGTTGTGGGTGTTAAACTGAGCGTTATTAGTCGTATATCTGGTGACTAATTTTAATAAAAATTAATTGATAACTTCATACCCTGGTAGCAATGATGTCAAAGTTCCAAAATTTCTCTGGAACCGCAGTCGAAATTTTTGAGAATTTTGGAAGGATAAGCCACCAGATCTCTTCCTGTTTCAGTGCCGCAGGCGAAAATTTTGAGAATTTTGGACCCCCCAGAACTAGTTCCAAAGCTAGTTCCAGATAATCGTTAGTTCCGTAGTTCTAGTTCTGGAACTTTGACATCACTGCCTGGTAGGTGTTAACTTTAAGTAATTAACGTACTGCGAATATTTTAACGCATTTATAAATCCTTCTATATCCTCCACGCCCTGGTTTATTATCAAAAATAATTGATTTAATTGGAATATATTTTAATTTTTTATTTAATTTAGACCTCATTCTGGTTAATATTAAATATTTACTTTAGTCATTTAAAATATTATTAAAGATGCAAATTTTAAATAAATATAGCAATTAATATTATGTATATGCAACAATGTGTTTTGGAAAATTTTTTTCGATTTTTTACTCTTTTAGCCTTGAATAATAAATAATCGGCTATTTGAATCTAGCGAAAAAATCCGGACTTTTAAAAGTTTATTTCTTGTTGTAAATTGCAACTACATATTTTTTTATAAGATTTGTTGTTAGACTGAATTTGTTTAATTAAAAAGATCAGCAAAAGTAGATAATAAAATGAGATGCAAAAGATAAACTTATTAATAGGATTGGTAAATACATGCAAATGCATGTTTTGTATGCGGATATGCCTTGAAGTGGCGAGCCCATAAATGATGTTTTTACATTGGTCCGAGCACATTAGCTCCCGGTTCTTAATACCTATTTTTGCATATTTTGACATTTCGTGCATATTTGCATATCTGAGCATATTTTGGCAAATTTTGCATATTTTGGTCCATATTTCGGCATTTTTTGGTAAATTTAAATAAAAACTTGGCAAATTTTTCTAGATTTTGGATTTTTTAGGCAAATTTTTTAGAGAATTTTTCTGTAAAATTTTTTTCAAAAATTTTTTTGCAGAAATTTTAAATAATAGAATCTTTATGAAGTGCTTTTATATTGCAATTTTAAAGGCTAAATTAGTGTTTTTTACTTAAACTAGTGATTTTTAAAAAATATTTTCACTATTTTTCTGCATATTTGGTGCATTTTATGGAGTTAACATTAAATTTCTTCGATTTAAATTTTGGAACAATAGTGATTAATTGTTTACTGAAGCCGTCCAAACTTGATTTCGAATGCATATTTTGGTATCTAATTAATTATTTTAAAAATTCTTCCGCACATTTCTTAACCCTAGAAATACTAATTACTTTTCACCCTTTCACACTCGTCTTGACCAAACTTTTTATTATAAGCACCCCTAAGGTTTCGACATTAGGGGTTAGTTATAGAAACATGCAGAAACATACGTGAAAGTAAACTTATTGAAGTCAAACATTAAAATAGAGTTCAGCGGTATCGGGATTTAGAGAAAAATCAGGGAACGGGATTTAGGAATGACGATCCCGATCCCTCCCCTCTTCTGTCAACTTTATTTCACAGACTTCTAGTCAATTTATAAAATCGGGATTTGCATCGGGATCTGATGCGCATCCCGATCCCGGCTCGGGATATTTATTTCGGGAGCGGGATGAGAAAAATCGGGATCGGGATTCGAAAAACCCGGGATAATCCCGCCCGATCCCGACCGGGATCCCGATCCCGCTGAACTCTACATTAAAATAAGACAAATTTTTAACAAAATATACAACAAAACAATTATTTCACCAAACATCCAAATACATAATTCTACTAAATTTATTTTACAAAAAATTTCTTTTTACATATATTTGTCTTTTTTCACCACTATTAGTGTATTTTTTATACCGTGTGGTTGCTCATAAATAAATAAATAAATAAAATAACTAAAAATTAAAATTAATAGATTTTTATACAAATTTAAACATTAAACGGTCATTTTTATCATTTATAATTTAAAATAAATATAATTTAAAAAATAAATTATAAATTAAAAATATTATTCAACCAATTAATTTTGAATGCTTGACCAAAAATTAAACCAGGAATTGTATTACGACTAGATTTCCTGTGAAAATTAGACATGGAACTACATGGAACGGGTACGTGATGTTACTGCAACTATATATGGAAATCGTTTTTTAATTGTAATGTTCAGTGTTTAATGTTACACACATTAAATTCATTTCTTAAATTATTATTTTTAAATTAAATCTCTGTTAGGCATTGAGCAAGGCGTTAAAATAAATAAAAATTATTTTGATTCTTTTTGAATTTATTTTATTGTCCATATAAGCTTTGATTGAACGTATAAAAGTTGATTGGAGGTATGAAACTTTGATTAGAAGTATAAAAGTCGATGGGACGTATATTGTGTAATAGAGCCATAAATTTTACCAAAAAATAATTTTTAGACAAAAATTCCTCAAAAAATGTCCAAATATGACCAAATTTTAATAAAAATATGCAAAATAGGCTGAAAAAGGTATTTATAATAGGACATTTTTCCGGAAAAAGTAGGGCATTTTGCCATTTATATAAAAAATCCGACATTAGGGTGAATAAATTTTAGGCACATGCCGCGCCAAAAAAGGAAAATAAATAAAAGAAATAGATATAATTGAAATTTAGAATGGCCGGCCATTCAATTAAATAAAAATAAATTAAATAAATTTGATCATTTAAAACATTAATTGTGAATAAGATTTGTTGGAGGAATCTGCGCTAATATGGATGTAGGTAAAGAAGAAAACCATTCATACAAAGATGTAGTGTTCGCTGTTTGCTGAGAAGTTGTTGATATTTGTTGCAAAAAATTTTGTTTTTGTTGCGAGACAATTTGTTGTGAAGTATTTGAAACTAAAGTTCCTTGATGGCCAAGTTGTGAAAAAATAGGTGGTAAAGAAGGTTGTGAGTAAACTAGTAATTGACCACCAACAGGTCTTTGTTGCGAGACTAAATATAGTTGAGGAGCAACTGTATTTTGCAGTGAGGTGTCTCGCATAGCCGCATTAATTGTATATGTTCTATGTATATTAGGTAGAATTGTTGGGGGTTGTGGATTAATACAGTATTGTTGCTGAGGACTATTGTTAAAAGAAAGATAGATGGGCTGTCTATGTTGATTTTGTGTTATTTCTGAAGTAAACTGTTCAACAAGCGGAAAATTAGAAGGAAGTTGAGATGTATGTTGAAAATGTCGACGGTGTAGATATTGTGAATGAGTTGGAAGATCGGGTGTCTCTACTACCTCTTGTTGTCCTTTATCATTAAAAGGGTTTTGTTGACTTCTCGATATATATTGTTTAATTTTCTTTTGCTGTTTTGTTATATCAGAACTTCCAGAAAAACAACAATTATTCGAATTAATAAGATGGGGAAATAGTAATTTGTCGTTTTCATCGTCATGGATATTTGGTGCTCGCACACGAATTTTTTGCATACGTCTTAGTTTGATTTGGGCAGCCATAAGGCGTCGCCTGATTTTAATAAAAATTAGAATATCAAATAGTATTAGGCACGAGGATATAATATCGCGAGGTTTTTCGAGATCGAGATTTCAGATAGTACTTGGTACCATTTAACTCTGCTCAACGAGCCGAATTGAATGATTCATGAAGAGACTCGTTTTGAAGTATCCTTAACTATAAAAGTAAAGCAGCTAAGCTATAGCTATTTCTCTCCTTTAGCTAGTGCAAAAGGTTATTCGGCGGCTGGGAGCGAACCAGCATCTTCAGTAGACCGGACTGATGTGTTAGCCATTACACCACGCCGACTACTGCACAGCCTTAGGAATTAAATAGCTAAATGCTTTACCTAATCCCGTTTTTTTACTACAACGACAATCTTTCTCGTATTACTCCGGTAAATCCTAAATCCAGGTAATACCGTTTGTAAATAGCCTAAAACTTGTGATTTAGGGCAGCGATCCCGGAAAATCCATTGCGGCAACCGTACCTTGCTTATCCTTAGTAATTATACTTACAAACCTCTCCTCGACTAAACAACAATTTTCACAGCCACAAATTCGAAAAGGGCATAACGTCTAAAAATTGAGATACCTTATATTTTCACATATCTAAAACCTTCTTATGCCCTCTTAATGTGCTTTCCTTTCCGTGTGCTGAACATCTTGCACACGTTGGATTACGTAATTTAGATCCAGAAGGTTTCTTAATTAATTTTAATTTTCCTTTTCCATGTCGTCGAGAGTTTAAAGCTTTATTTAAGCGTCTACGTTTTATAACCATTTGACATTCTGCACATTTACAGTCTTGATAGCGACAAAATGCCTTGTGCCCTTTACGGGCATGTTCCTATAATTTGGGATTTCTTGAATATAATATTTTTTGAAATTTTTGCCTAACCAGCAACCATATAAATTCGGGATTAGGTTACTCTAGTCTCTTTTCCCACATAAAGCAAAAGAAGAGGGAAATCCTTTTCGCCGAAAGGGAAGAAAAGAAATTTTTTGGCAGGCAACGCGAAAATTTTGACGCAAATTATATACAGGGTTGGGCAAAAGTTCGGCGACAAATTTTATTTTGTCCTATCTTAAAATTTACTTTATATTTTGCTTTTTGTTTAGATTTCCCATATTCTATGATTCGCGCTCTACAAATTTTATCTTGAAAATTTTTTCATATCTCATAAAGTAAAAATTTTACAGAATGTTAAAGATCGTGCTTTTAGTATTTCTTTGTATTTTAAAAATGTTCGAAAAAGTGACATTGCTAGACGGCTCGATATCTGTCGTATGTTAGTTTCAAAAGCAATAAAACGATATCTTGAGCTTGGAAATAATCAAGATCGCCCTAGTAGTGGCCGATCGGTAACCGCAGTTACGCCTGAAAACATGGACGTAGTTAGATGTATATATTTATATTACTATCATATCCAACCTAATAATTACTTTTATTTGGCGGACTAAGCGTTTGTGGATTAAGAGGGCCCTCTTAATCAGCAAAAACGCAAATCCCACCGAATCAAGCATATTTGATTTGGCTTTCTCTATCAATTCGTAAATAAATTCATATTTCCATTTCAGATAATAAAATTCACTAACCTCATTATGGTTTAAACATCTCTGACAAAGATATATTTTATATTTTGAATTATGCAAAGCAGAACATCTAATTTCTTCTGAACTTAATATTTACAGTCCCGATCCCTTTCTTAAATACTTTTTGTTTCACAAAAATCTTATTATGTAAATATATGGAGGGTTTCCACAGCATTAATATATTTTTTGTTAAGAGTAATATTATATATAGAGCTTTGATTTATACTATACCATATTTCTTCCAATAAATGCCATGGCATTTGTTTTTCGATCTACTTCTAAGTTGGTCGCTCGTTCGGGAATGGGAGAAAGTCTTTCCAAAGTGGTGCGAATTTTCACCAAAAAGTTTTCCACGCGTCTTCGACTTTGTATCCAAATGATGGATAGGCCCTTCAAAAATTCTTGATTATTCTTGCTCCAAGTTTAATTCTCTATCATATAAGCTTTATTTGATCTCATTATCTTATATTTGATTAAAGTTATGGCATAAAATGTGTGCCCCATATCTTTCTTGTCACCCTGTATACCGTATTTCTTTCAATAAATGCCATGGAATTTGTTTTTCGATCTACTTCTAGGTTGGCATTCTATTAGAGGGTGGCTTTGTATTTTTCAAAGTGTAAATTTTAGACGTTTGAGCTCGATATACTGATTTAACGGAAAATCTTGGAGACCAACTTATCAGGGCCCAATTTTTCACACCCGAGAGTGTTTAAGAATGAATCGGACTGCATTGTTATTCCGGTCAAAACATTTTTTAATTTCTTATTAAATAAATTATGTTGTTGTGTAGGTCCTGGAGTGAATGATAAGATATCTACTATATTATTTTCTTCTTCTTCCTTTTCATTCTTTTTAATAAAAGTATTTGTGGATAAAATTGAGGCTGCCGTTGTGCTAAGAGATTATTATCTATGAAGATGCTTAAATTAATTTGATAATTATCTGTACCAATGTTAAGTTCTTGTTCCTAGTAAATGATATAACAAAAATATCTTTTTCTTATATTTCGTCGCAATAGTAAAGCAGCTGGGCTATACGTAGCTATTTCTCTCCTTTGGCTAGTGCAAAAGGTTATTCGGCGGCTGGGAGCAAACCAGCATCTTCAGTAGACAGGACTGATGTGTTAACCATTACACCACGCCGCCTACTGCACAGCCTTAGGAATTAAATAGCTAAATGCTTTACACTATTTAAAAAAACTTTTATGTAATATGCTACATTATTGCTGTCGAGCTTGAGTAGTTAAAAATGGGTACAGATCAGAGATGCTTCGAAACAAAAAAAATCTTCGAAGATCGGAAATCGAAATAAATTCAAAAATATCGAAATCAAAAATATTTTTCAAAATCTTCGAAATCGAAAGAAAAATAACCTTGAAAATCGAAAAAAATTTAAAATGAAAATAATTTCCATGTAAAATATTTGTTATGTTAGGTCTCATTTGGAACTTCTTTAATTCTAAGAAATTAGAAAAAGTAGGGCCTAGTCGGTAGATCCTGGGAAATTACGGATATCCAATATTCGAACACTAAATCCAAACCAAAAATAGGAATAGTAACCGAATCACCGGCACCGTCTATGGCCATTTCAAATCGTTGCTCGGAGTGATGAAAAGGGGCTCTGAATTTATCAAAGGGGATATAAGTGATATCAGAGGAGGATAGATCAGCGGATTCGAAGGGATATCGGGAAAATAAGAGGGAGGTCGAGAATATCGGTGATCCCTGATATCCGACTCTATGATATCCACCTTACACCACTTAATCCATCGATAGCAGGCCCAACTGGAAAAATTAAATATTTGAACTCAGTTCGGAGGGAGGCGGGCATATACTATCAACTCGTGGGCCTTCGAAACAACATTGATGTTTAAACCAATAGCTGTTGAATTGGCTGACTTTTATTATTTCTCAACCGAATCTAAAGCATTATTTTAGCAACAAAATGTACTTTTTTAATATAATATTAATCTAATCTTTGCATCTTCTTTACATAGGATAAATTTAAACAAAACGAGATGTAGCTTATTAATAAGGAATTAAAAATATAAAGATTTAAATCACATTTGGAATTTGGATTTCTCCATAATGTATACTTAAAAAACGAGTAAAAATTGAAACTAACTGATAAGAAGACATGTTTAGGTATATAAATACTAAACAGTCTAGCAGTTTAATAGATACACAAAAGGGATGTGACAAGATTTTGCTGAGTTTCATATACATAGTACATACATATATTAATTAATTTGAAAAGTTATAGGGGGTGGTAATTTATTTCGAAATTAAAATAATTTTGGAATTGTTTTACTGTATTTCTGAAACACCCAAAAATTCAGAAAACTATGCAAAAAAGTAAATTGAACAGAAAAAAGACATTTGAACAGAACGGCTTTCGAAAAAAACAGCCCATAAGGTGTCAAATACTTTTTGAAGTTAACAAACACTGAAATTAGATTTGGGCCTTGTTCTTTATTGTTTTTTCTTCAATATAAAAAGAAGTTTTTTCTTCCTACTGGGGACACATTTTACAAATTACATTTTGTACATATTACATTATTTATTCTGCATATTAAATATTTATTTATTCAATTTCTTCATAACATAGTTATTGGATACAATAATAAGGAAGAGAAGTAGCTAGGCCAAATCTGATAATATGTAAAGGGCGAGTATTTATAGAGATAATTTATGGTTCTTCAAAATATAAACAGAAAGTGAATAACAAAAATAAGATAAAAGTTTTTAATTGTGTGATAAATTCGAAAAACCTTTATATTTAGAAAAATATCAACTTTTATTTATTTTTTATTTTATTAGGCGTATTCAGCACCAGTTTTCCAAAATTCTATTTACATATTTGCAAATTATCACAAATCTCAGTGAAAAAAATTCCACTATTTCTGACCTCCATAATTTCATTGATAAATATTTCGTGATAACCACGTTTGCTACAAATATTATACAGGGTGCGGCATAAGTAATTGCACACTTGTTTTCTCTCATAACTTTATTAAAACACAATAAAATAAAATCGAAATACAATCAAATGATAGAGAATTAAATAGGGAACAATAATAATCAGGCAGTTTCGAAATGCCCACCCTTGGCTTTGATACAGAGGCGAGGGCGCGAAGAAAAAATTTCGCAAATAGCACGCACCTCCTTGTGTGTAATTAAGTCCCACTCTCGGGTGAGTGAGTGGCGCAGAGACTCCAAACTTTTATGAGGCATAGCACAGGTCCTGGACTCCAAAATAGACCAAAAAGAATAATCCATCGGATTCAAATCCGGGGAGTATGGCGGCTATTCCTGAGCGCT